TTCCGTGCCGCATTTTCGGGGCCGCGCCTGCGTCCGGCCCCCGGGCGGCCGGTGAAACAGGCCGCGGCGCGCCACCCGCGGCCGAGGTGCGTGCACGTTCGGCGGGCGCGGCACCTCCTCCGGGCGGGCCGGGCCCCGGCGGCCCCTCGCCGCCCCCCCTCGCCCACACCCGCATCCCGGCCCGGCCCGGCCCCCCCCCCCCCCTGTGAATCCGCCGCTCCGGGCACCGGCGCCCCCGGTCGGCAAGAGACCGGGGGTTTGTGGGCGCGGCGCGGCGAATAGGCAAATGCCGCGTCTTCGCCCGATCACGGCCCGGTGCTCGTCCCGCGGCCTCGCCCTCGTCGGCGGCCTGCCCTGCCAAGCGCTGGCCGGGCGCTGGCGGCGAACGCGCCCCACCGGGCCCGGCGACGCGACCGGGCCGGCTTGCAGGCGGCATGCGAGGGCGAGGGGCCCGACAGCCGGCACACCGGCCCCGGGCGATGGTCGGGCACGCGGCCACGGCCGCGTCTGCGTCGTCCGGGTCGAGGATCTCCCCCGCCCCCCCCCCCCTGGCGAGGGGGCTGGCCGCCGGGGTGGGCTGGCCGGCCGGGCCGGTTCGCAGGCCGACGGGGCAATTTCGTCCGGTCCACGCGCCGGCACCGCATGGGTGTCGCCTCGGCCGGCGGCGAGGCCCGGGGAGGGAGGCGTCGGCCGGGCCGGCCGGCCTAGCCTGGCCTCGGGCCCCGCCTCGCCGGGCCCCTGTGCGCCGGTGTGCGTCATCGGCGCCCCCATGCCCACACCTGGCGCGCATGGGGGGGCCGGAGGTTGCGGTCCCGGCCCCTGGTGTTGCTCTCGTTGGCCGGGCCCGAAGGCCGGCGCCGGGGGTCCCGCCCGCGGCCGGGGGTCTGATCGGCGGGTCGCCCGCGCGAGCCGCCGCACCGCCCAGTCCCGTGCCGGCCATCGCCGCTGGGCCCGGCCCTCTTGGCACCGAGCCGCGCGCGGGAGATCTGCCCCGCCGGCCGGCCCCGGCACGCATGCCGCGCTTCTGCCTCCCCCGCCCTGGCCAGTGGCTGTGGGGACATGGCGGCGGCGGCGGAGGCCGGCCGCGGGCTGGCCATCCTCTTGGCAGGCCGGGGCCGTCGCGCGCGGCATGGGCCTCGCCTGCTGGCCCCGCCGATCTCTTTGGCCACGGCGCCCGGGGCATGTCTGCGCGGCCGGCCGGTCCCGGCGAGCTCGATCCAGCGGGGCCAGGGAGTTCAAGCCACCGGCGCTGGCGAGTTCAAGCCACCGGTCCCGGCAAGCTCGATGCACCGGGCCCAGGGAGTTCAAGCCACCGGCGCTGGCGAGCTCAAGTCACCAACCATGGCAAGCTCGATCCACCGGCCGGGCCCGAGCCGATGCCGCTCGATCGCCACGCCGCGTGCCGGCCATCACCTCCCCCTGGCTCCGGGTCCAGCGCCTGGCCCTTGCTCCGGTGGATGGGCCCGCTCCGCCGGCTCCGCCCGCTCTGCCCGCTCTGCCTACTTTGCCCGCTCTGCCTACTTTGCCCACTCCGCCCGCTCTGCCTACTTTGCCCGCTCTGCCTAGTTTGCCCGCTCCGCCCGCTCTGCTCGCTCCGCCCGCTCTGCTCGCTCCGCCCGCTCTGCCCGCTCCGCCCGCTCTGCCCACTCCGCCCGCTCTGCTCGCTCCGCCCGCTCCGCCCACTCCACCCCCTCCGCCCGCTCTTCCCACTCCCCCCCCGCTCCGCCCGCTCTTCCCACTCCCCCCCACTCCACCCGCTCCGCCCCATGTGGGGTATTTAAGGTGCCGGCCGCTGCGCCCGGTCGATGGCCGCTGGAACTATCACACGCTGGACCGCCCGCACGAAGCCCCCCTCGGATCCGTGTCTCCCCTCCCCAGCCCCCCAGCCCCACCCACCCCCCTCCCCCGGCCGGCCAAATGATCGGCCCGCCCGAAGCCGCGCGCCAGCGGCCGCCCCGGCCCCCGGGCCGGCCGGCACTGGCCTGGCTGCTTCTGCTGGCTCTGGCCGGGCTGCTAACCCAAACCCAGGCCCAGACCATCCCCGACGTCTACCTCTACTCCGGGCTGCAAAAGGTCCAAACCAACGGCGGCCCGGTGGAGTTCAGCACCCGCGGCAGCGGCGCCAGCCTCATGGGGGCCTGGAATGCGCCGGACTTCTTCGCCTTCTACGAGCAGCGCCTGCCCCTGAGCCCGGTGGCCGACCTGCGCCTGGGCTCGCACTTCCACAATGTCCCGCTGACCGGGGTGCCGATCATGCGGCCGCGGCTGGCGCCCGACAGCAAGGTCGTCATGGCCCCGGCCTTCCACGCGGCCGACATGGCCGAGGTCCTGGAGTACACCCCGACCGCCATCTCCTTCCTCCTGTCCAGTGTCTTCGTGGGGTTCTTCTGCAGCACCGGCGTGGAGGTGCTCGACTCGCGGTCCATCCTCAAGGGGCTGGTGCAGGTGATCTACCTGTGCGGGCCGGCCGGCCAGACGCGCACCCTCAACCTGCTGAATGTCGACCGGCTGGGCGACGGGACCCGCCATGCGGAGCTGGCCACCATCCCGGCCAGCTACAAGGGGTTCCTCTATGCCTTCGGCCCGGGCGGGCGCATCATCACCCCGGGCGCCCTGAACACCAGCACGCCGTACATCTTCCACCACCACTTCCCGACGGCCAGCTCGCACGAGATCTCCATCATCAGCTCGCTGGCCGGGGCCCGGCAGGTGGCCACCGCGCGGCTGTTCGACTTCCCGGGCGTGCCCTGCCCGTATGGCGACCTGGTGGCCCTGCTGTCGACCGGCATGCTGTATGTGGCCGGCTGCTTCGAGGCCAATGGCAACTTCGTGGTGGGGCACATTGCCCCGGTGCCGGCGGCCGTGCCCCAAACCGGGCGCTTCATCAACCTGCCCCTGCACGCGGAGCAGCAAATCCACCCGGTCATGTATTACCTGGCCCCGGGGGCCACGCCCCAGGCCGCCAGCACCCTGTGGCAGGTGCACGTCGACAAGGTGACCGGCATCCAGTGGAAGCGCATGGTCCTGCCGTCGGGGGTCAACCCGGCCGGCGCGCGCCTGCTCCGGCTCCGGGCGCACCCGGCGGCGGCCCTGCGCACGGCCGTCGTCATCGACGGCGTGGCCTTCTTCGAGGCGGCGGACTTCGGCTGCGCCACCGACCCCACCATCACCTGCGCCAACAGCCCGGCCACCGTGCTGCCCTCGCGCAATTGGCAATGCAAGCCCACCCGCGCCGAGTCGCCCTTCATCGTGCCGGGCCAGCTGTGTGCCGCCTGCGCGCACGGGCACTACCGCGACTGGAATGACGGTACGCCCGGCCGAGGTGCCTGTGCGGCGGCCGGTCCCGCCCGCCGGGTGCACCGCCGTTGCTGGCCCTTCCGCCCGGTGCACCGTCGTTGCTGACCCTTCCGCCCGCTCTTGCTCTCGTCCTTGTTCTCGTCCTTGCTTTCGCCCTTGCTCTCGTCCTTGTTCTCGTCCTTGTTCTCGCCCTTGCTTTCGCCCTTGCTTTCGCCCTTACTC